CTAATATAAAATTAAAATAATTTTTAAAAGTGAGAATTATCTAGTAAAGAGTCTCTGGTGGCCAAGTGGGAGAGAATTGCACTGTCAACCCAAAGGCAGGTGGTTCAAATCCATTAGCTGCTGCATGTGAGAAAGATGGGCTCTCTCCTCTTGTGGAGGACCAGCTATGAGTCCATTCTGATTTGACAGCAATGAGATTGACTCTATGTCTGCAACAAATACTAAGAATCCTCTGAGGAGAATTAGAACTTGACAGGACCACCTTGCCAGGCCTTGCAAGTTTTCCACTTTTGACAGAGTGCAGTCTTATCACTTTTCTATTATTTACTTTGGTGGAAATATTTTTCCCTCTCTGACAGGTTCCCACCTTATGCAAGTTCCAGGTTTCACAGTTTTTATTGTCATCACTCCCACTGGTTGACTCAGGTCACTGGCCTGCAATAACTCTGACTCTTCCTCTTGTCTCTGCCTATGCAAGACATTTTATATTCTTGAGTCACAGTCATAAAACATCCTTACCTTTTAGCTGGAGGTAGTATATGAGTTTGTATAGGATCTTGGCTGAAAACAAAGAGTACCAGAAGAATGCCTATCTGTGTTTCATTGACTATGCAAAGGCATTTGACTGTGTGGATCACAACAAATTGTGGCTAACCTTGTAGAAGAATGGGAATCTCAGAACACTTGGTTGTGCTTATGTGAAACCTGAACTTAGACCAAGAGGCAATCATCAGAACAGAGCAAGGAAACACTGCATGGTTCAAAATTAGCAAAGGGGTGTGTCATGGATATGTTCTGTCTCCATATCTTTTCAATTTATATGTGGAATAGATCATTCAAGAGACTGGACTTTATGAGGAGGAATGTGGCATCAGAATTGGAAGAAGACTTGTCAACAACCTGTACTAAGCAGGTGACACGACCTTGCTTGCTAAAACTGGGGAGGACCTGAAATGTTTGTTGCAGAAGGTCAACTGCTGTCTTCAATATGGACTGAAGCTAAACATAAAGAAGACAACAAAGATTGTCACCACTGGGCCATTTGGCAGTGCCATGATGGATGGAGTAGAGACTGAGGTTGTTAACAAGTTCAGCTTGCTCAGCTCCAAAATCAACACCCTGGGAACCAGCAGTCAGGAAATCAAAAGTAAAATTTCATTAGGGAAGTCTGCTGTCAGGGACCTCCCCAGAGTTCTAAGAAGCAATGGTATCAGTCTAGAGACTAAGGTGTGCCTGATCCAGGCCATGGTCTTCGCAATTACATGCTATGCATCAGAGAGCCAGACAGTGACAAAGGATAACATAAGAAGAATTGATGCCTTTGAGTTGTGGTGCTGGAGAGAGTATTGAATACACTCAAACAGCCAGGACAACAAATAGGTCTGTCTTGAAGAAGGTTAAACCAAGTT